TCCAAGTAAGATCTGCAGAGATTGGCAGCACTTAAGTTTAGAGAACACATTCAATCATCCGTTTCTCTTCATATTTAATTGCTTTATTACTCTTTCATAGATCTTTGGCTACAGAACTGCTAGTGTTCTGGAAATACGATCCTTGTACTCTTTACTATCGGCCTTAAATTGGAAGATTTCCTGTAATGTTTGAGATCTTAGACTGCAGCTTGTCCAACATTTGGTGAGTTCTACAGCAGGTAGATCCTTTTATTTATTTTATTCAATAAAAAAAACAATTACTTTTTAACTGTATTGCTTTGGGAAATAAAGCCAAAAACATATTTATTGCATTTCCAATAACTACTGAGTAATACATCTCGGTAATGTGTCTAATGTCTTGATTTTTTTAACAATCATGTCACTCCCATAAAACAAATATTCATCTCTCTTGCTACCTGATATCCAATTGCAAAGATCTCTCAGGAAATGCATCAAAGAAATTTGCATGATCTTGTAACATTAGCCTGCCATTGTGACTTTAAATAGCTTTCATGAAAGTCTCACGCTGTACAGTACAGCAAGCCACACTCCCCAGCCCTGTCACGTCCACTGTACAAATACAGTATATAATGTTGTTGGGCTGGATATTTGAAATGCATGACATGCATTGCTGTTGGGGGAGCGTCAAGAACTTCTACAGTATGACCACACACTACTTTGATTGTCAAGGTGCTTTAACAAGTAAGTTCAAGCTTGGGAAATCCTCTGAGCAATTTAAACAAGGTAATTGTCAATACGTGCTTGTGTGTATACAACATGTACTCTAAATATATACCTCTGAATATATGGTCAAATCTTGTATCATGCATGCAGCATGATATTTGCATTCATTTGAGTGATTGTGTTGTTGAGTACTTGGCCTGATTCACCTCTGTGCAGCAGTGGTCAAAGTTGCCCAAAACAAAGGGTTGGATTGACTTTAATTGACTTTTTACATACATTTAAAATGTGCTACCCGTCTCCGGGTCTGTGCCCCAACTTGACCTTGACCCTGTCCAAAATTGTCTAGAGCCACCTATGTTTAGTTGTGATGTTTATTGATTGTTTTTCTATTAAGTGATCAATCAATGAATCCATTAAATGTCAGACAAAATTAGAACTGCTCCAGCCACAAAAACTGAGCCATTTTGTTTGACCAACAGCAAATATTCACATTCAAGAAGCTGAAACCATTGAAGTTTTGTCATTTCTGCTTAAAATGTTTAAGTAATTATTAAATTGTCACAAATATATTGTCTCTTGATTGACTAATTGATTAACTTACTGATTCAGCTCTGATGTGATAACTGAATATGCAATATAATAAAATATGGTGGCTCTGGTCCAAAGCTCCCATGAGTTTTACCTGAGAATCTTATCAGAGCATGTTTCTAATCATGTACTATGGTCAATATATGATAATAAAACACAAGACCTCAGCAGAGTTAGTACAACACAGAAAAATACTGCATAATGATTTGAAAATGGACAAATTGTTTCTTAAAGCTGGAGTTAATGTCACATTCTGTAGACTCACTCGCTCTTACAAACTGTTGTTTCTTTAGCCTACATGATTCAAACGTTGATGAAGTGGAGTCAAGCAGTTTGAAACATGATTTTTCTATGAATTATTCACTCCCCAGTCTGCTTTTACATGGACATAACAGTCATGGAAATTTCTGCTGGTATGTTAATATTTCAAGTTTGGCCAGCTAGAAAGAGTTTCACCTTCAGAAAAGACAAAACTGACAGCTTAAATACATCTAGCTTAAAATGTACTTTCCCCTTTTGGTGTTATTTTATCAAGTTGGAGTCTGATAAAAATCACAGAAATGTGCACTAGAAACAGGGCAGGAAGGGCACTATTCATAACATATTTACAGCAGCTGCATTCCAGACAATCAGTGTAATTAGTTCCACTGTACTCCAATATGACAACCACTTCAAAAGAAATTATTAAAACCATTCAACCAGCACACACATGCACGCGAGCGTGCACTCATATACGGCATGTGCAGATATAGCCAAAAGATGTCTAAACACACATATTCTTGCATATATGCACATGCATATCACAATGCAGACACACACATTCATCAAAGATGCGACAGTTGTCGTATGCAATTACAGCTCAGAGGTAGACCAGGCTTTGTTTCCAAATGTCAGGGTCTGTTTTTTTTATTGTAAGCGGTCACCGTCAGAGCTTCTCTTTCTCCTGAGGACTCTCACAGCATTTCACTTGATTAGATTTAATTTGGAGAATGAGCTGCAGGGCATTAATAACTATACAACAGCATTGTAAAGTTGGTGTGTACTGTGTGTGTGTGTGTGTGTGTGTGTGTGTGTGTGTGTGTGTGTGTGTGTTGGTGCATGTAATATACATTAAGTGTATGTACACTTTAAAAATTCCTTTTGTTCTTACAGCCTGACCTTTCAAAATAAAGGACATTCTTATCTTAATGTACGCTTTCTAATTGGCTGGGGCTGTGGCCACATCACAGGAGTGCCAGAAGACACTGTGAGAACATGATGCATTTAAGTTTCTCTCTCTGGATATCTCTTTTCTTTTTGTTCGTCTCTCTGTGCTAGTATAGCAAGTTGATCAAACAGCTGTGCTGCGGCAGATTATTTTCAGAACACGCTGTAAAGCGCCTGACCTCATAAACTACAATAGTGTCAGGGTCATAACTGCTCCACAACTGGCGATCAGCACAGCACTCAGTAAATTCAAAGTCAATAAATTCTAATACAGCACAACATACAGCTACCTAATAAAACAATACTTTACTTAGTACAATACATTTCATGGTTTTCACAGGTATATTACGGTATTATTACAAAAGGGAACTGCAGTTTTGCATATTGTATCGACTTTAGTTTACTTGTCATGGTTAATATTGCTCAGCTTGTAAAAACAGTTGTAAAATGTCTTCTTTGGTTGCGGATGAGTGTTGTTTGATCATGTCACAGTGAGGTCATCAGGGTTATCTCAGTTTGCACACTACACATTTAAAACCAAAAGCCTGTGTTACAAACTGGACATAGGGGTTTATGAGCCAAGGGGCCCTAATGAAAGCCACAGAGTTTCTTTCTGGGGATCCAGTATCTTTGGAGTTTGAAAATATTTCACTATATGTCTGCTGCTTCAATTTTAACCACTCTTTTTTTTTTCAATTTATCTGCTGCTGCTGTTTCAAAGAACTCATAAAAGAGCAGGATACTAATAATGTATGCATAGATATGTAAAATAATCTGAGCAAGCACAGGTTACAAAGAAGAAAGAGCATAGCTGTGATTTAAAAGCATCAACAGACTTGTTCTTTTGATTTGAGCCTAAACACAGTCAGACAGTTAAAAAGTTTGTTGTTCTGGTTGCCAACTAGGTAATTTAGGCAAAAAACAAACAAACAATTGTTATAAAAAGTGATTATATTCGTTTTAGCATCAATTCTAAACTGTTCTGATGGTTATTTAAAAAAAACAGAAGCAGGGGAGCTATTAGCGCATTTAGGAGTCTGGCAGCAGAACTTTGTAAAAGCTGCAGACACCTCATGGATGACTGAGTTACTCAAACAAAAGGTGCATTAGAATAATGTAACCAGGATGTGACAAAGGCATGAATGAGTTTCATTACATTTTGAGATGACATGATGGGGCTGATCTCACCAACATCCCCAAGATTAATGAAGCGTAGCAGACTGGTTTTGTAATATGCAAAATGAAATGCAAACCACAATCAAATTTTTACCGTTTCAGACACAGGCATTACATGAGCAGAGCGAGAGTCCGGAAATGATTGAACTGCTTGTGCAACAGGGTCGGGACCAACGGTCTGAGCCGCCCATCCCCTGATGTCAGGCAGACAATTATATAAAATGGATGGTCTGTTGAAAAGATTTGTGGCTTGCAATACCTTTACAGTGACATCAATCAGGAAGTACAGCATCGGTGAGTGTTTCCTTCTTTCTTTCCTTCACTTATTCATGGAAATATTTTAGTGTTTCACATATGACCTTGACCAAAGGTGGCATTAAAGCAACTGTACAGTGAATTATTCGAGTGTGTGCCTTTGTAGGATCGTGCTTTGTTATGAATCATGACCCAAGGGATAAGGCAGATGTCACACAAATGAAAGTGAACTCAAAGAGCAGTAATATTGTTCTACAGCTACCCCAGCAACTCTTTTAATCAAAAACTTTATAAGCAAAGGTGGGGCACAAAGCACAGAGTAGAGAATGAGTGCAGAGCTTTATTTTACAGATTGATTTTAAGAAGTGAAAAAAAAACCCCAACTGCACTGAAGTGCAGTATTTCCAACCCAAAGGACCATTACGCTGGTTTTCATTATACTGGTTTCCAGGCTTCCACTGTTTTCTAATCACATTCAACTCAATTTAACTAACAGATCTTTGAAAGCAGCTAACATTGCATTTGTTAATCCATCACAGAGATCAAATGTAACTTCTTCCTTACTGGTGTGTTTAAGGAAACGAGGAAATTTGATAGTTGTCTGCCAAACAGCAGCTTTTTAATGGAAAATATGATTCTCAATCTTTTCACAACATCTGTCTGCTTCCTTACAAAATCCGATTCCACTGAAAATAACCCAGATGCTTGTAGCAGATGACTTTTCTTTCCCTTAAGCACATCGTCGCATTTCAAAATCACTCGGAAGTGCATATCATCAATAGCAGTTTTTAAGTAAAGAATTTGTTGATTGACAAAAAATTAACTGGCAACAATCTTGATGATTGTTTGTTGTTCTGTATTACTGTTTACTGCTGTACCGTTTCCCGCTTCTCGAATGTGAGGATTTGCTGTTTTTCCCGTGGTACTCTCTCTCCCTTTGCATTTCAGTCAACATAACAGGTAAAATGACCTGCACTCTAAATCAT